TCTCTGAAAAGTTGGTGTGTACTTTGTCCATTGTTAATCTTCACTTTCTAGACCTCTGAAAACAAGAGAAGAGACCATGGTGGGGGAAACAATTTGGGATATGTTAAAGGAGAAATTATTCCTAACAATCTTTGTTTTATTTTTAAACACAATGGTAACCATGTAAAGTAAAATAATGACTACAATTTAACAAACACAAACCATTGTTTTATGATGTTTCTGATATTTTATGTTTTGCCTGAGGCTTGGTTATTTCTGTGCTTTCTTTTATATTTCCTAATAATTTCAGAAACAGCATTTAAATAATTGCCGTGTTCCTTGGCTTCCTGAGATGTTGTTTATCCTACTTTATTTAGTAGTTCAATTGTAGCAAAAAAAAAGTCATATTCCATCAAGTCAGCAATTTTAACAGGTAGCCTAATGATTGTTCCTGAGAGACATTTATGACCTAAGACTTAGGCTACCTCCAAGTAATAACAGCTGGCACTGATTATTAAGTACATTGTAGCGAGCATGTGCTAAGCACTTCTCTTGCTGTCCTTACTTAGTAAGAGTAACTGTGGGACTTCCTGCCAGATCTATAGAGATACAGATTGCATGAAGTTTAAAAAATGAAAATAAGTAAGAATTGGAAAATAAGAATTATTGATAGGGTAATAAATAATCTTACATATACTTATGTAAGAGGGAAATAATTGCAGTAGTAGGTAATATGAAAATACCATCGTGTTCCACTCCCCTGACCCTCTGCTGGGTCCCTGCCCACATGGGCAGGTTCTGCACTGAGCACAGTCCCCAGCCTGGTACTCTACTCTTGTGTTCCTTTCTTTGTTGACTTTGTAAAGGTGGACTTCTTCTGTTTTCCTAATACATTCTGAAGGAAACTAGCCTCAAAATATCTACCAAAGAAGTTTTTAACCATTCAGCTGTAATGAAATTCAGTCATTCTAACTGAATAAGCTAGCCATATGTACAACTAAAGTGTGTGAACAGACTATTAAATGTACCCTTTTGACTGATTATCTTGCTTTAGTAGTTTTAAAACTTTTTCCATATAAACAATTAATTTTAAAAGCTTTCTAACAATACACAATACTGATGATTTTATTGAACAAAACAAATAATTTATAGTCTGAGTTTAGAAAATATAATAGTAATTCATAAGCTGAGCACTAAGAACTAGAGAATGTTCCCTGCCAAAAATGAGG